GGATACAGTACTGGTTTACAGAGGTTTTTGTACATTTTTGAGATCATTCATGTGTCCACATATCTTGGAAAATATTTTTTCACCTATGATTTATTTTGTTACTGATTTTTTAGAAGTTGTGGTATTAAGGGAGATTTATCTACACAGATGACTCTTCTATAACACCGTTTAGAAAAACGTGTATATGTCTTAAGAAGTGTTTAATGAGCATTTTCTTACAACACTACACATGAATGAATCTAATTTTATATCCTTGAAGTGCTGTACCAGTGCTGGCTGAAGGTATTAAGTCTGAGTTTATTAATTAGATATTTATTTAGCATTCAAAGTAATTTGTGAATTTGTTTTATATTTATAAAATTTATACATGAGAAATGTTCTTTAATTTTTTAAACCTTTTACTATGTTTTTGTTTTATTTCTCTAACTTCCTTAATGATCAATCAAAAACAAAAAAATAACACCCCCTTTTCCTTGACAGTTCTTTCAGTTTCACAGAACTGTATTATAAGTTTCTATGTACCACTTTAAGTGTACAAATAAAATGATAACATTTTTTCAAGTATTCTGAATTTCTAGAATTTTTACAGATCAGAATTGGATGTTTGCATGTGATACACATAGGCCATAGGAACCAATGTTCTATTGTACTTGAATCTCTACAACAGTAATTAGACTCTTATTCTGCCTAAACCCCTGAGGAGTAAGATACAGCCCATCAAAAACAGTAATATTCTATGCATAGATTCTCATTAAAAAGAGGGGAAAAAATTTGGAGTATGCTCACCTAGTAAACACTCCAGAAATTAAAATATGTATAATAAACATGTGTACGTATATATATATATATGCATAAAAGGAGTTATTTCTTAGGTATGGAAGATATACAGGGACCTCAATTTGTTTGTTTTATTTTGAGACAGAGTCTCACTCTCTCACCTGGGCTAGTATGCGGTGCTGTCATAGCTCACAGCAACCCAGCTCCTGGGCTCAAGCAATCCTCCTGCATCAGCCTCCCCAGTAGCTGAGACTACCACACCTGGCTAATTTTTCTCATTTTTTGTAGAGATAGGGCCTCACCATGTTGATCCGACTGGTCTCAAACTCCTAACCTCAAGCAGTCCTCCTGCCTTAGCCTTCCAAAGTGCTAGGATTACAGGTATGAGCCACTGCACCCAGCCAGGACCTGGTTTTGTAGTAGTAGCTTTTCCTTTTTATCATGCAAGAGCCAGGTGTCTTCTCTAGGGCTCTTTGGCAGGCAGGAGGAAGAAACTTCCCTCTGTTTTCTTATCTGAAACCCTGAGTATATAGCATTCTTATTTAATTAGGTCAGCTTATTTGGCAACCCCTTTTTCATTTCTTTCTCATATAGTTTGAGACTGTTGATTTTTCAGAAATCAAATCAAATCTTTCCATGTATATATATGTTTGTGTCTTCAACTTTTAGTAAATTTATAAAATTTGTAAAAATACATAATTGTATATGCCAATAACCAAATTTCTTAGAAAATTTTACTTAATATTTAATTATCAAAGAGACAATTCTGAAAACAAAATTACATTTTAATAGAAAGTAATTTGGGGCTCAGCACCTGTAGCTCAAGCGCCTAAGGTGCCAGCCACATACACCTGAGCTGGCAGGTTTGAATCCAGCCTGGGCCTGCCAAACAACAATGACAGCTGCAACCAAAAAACAGCCTGATATTGTGGTGGGCACCTGTAATCCCCAACTACTAGGGAGGTGGAGGAAGGAGAATCTCTTGAGCCCAGGATTTGGAGGTTGCTGTGAGCTGTGATGCCATGGCACTCTACCCAGGGTGACAGCTTGAGGCTTTGTCTCAAAAAAAAAAAAAATAGAAAGTAATGTGCCTGCATAATATTTACTTTTTAATGTTAATAACAAGTAATTTTATATTTGCTTTTCTTCTAAACACTAAGAAGGAAATATTTCTAACCAACTAGTTATGGAATTATTCAGTCTGAAAATCACTCATAAAACTTGAAATTTATATTATGTATTGCCTTTCTCAAACTCAGTTAAAGTAATACATTACCTTTCAATATACAAACATCATTGTATCTACCGTAATTAAAACTTTATGTAGCCACAAGGTTAACAGACAAGGGCTGTATATTAGTGACTGAGAATGTAATGTTAACATGATCAAGAAAGCAACCAGCATTATTTGACTCCTACTTTGCTTTCATCTTTGTTTTTCTACAAAGAGAAGGGACTAAATAATTGAACAGGTGGAACAAAAACATGATGGAGAGTACTGGAATATAATATAGTGACAGAGACATTAGTCTCTAAACTCAGATAAAGTGTATTTCTTTTTTTTTTTTTTTTTTTTTTTTGAGACAGAGCCTCAAGCTGTCCCCCTGGGTAGAGTGCCGTGGCATCACAGCTCACAGCAACCTCCCACTCCTGGACTCAAGCGAGTCTCCTGCCTCAGCCTCCCAAGTAGCTGGGACCACAGGCTCCCTCCACAGCACCTGGCTATTTTTTTGGTTGCAGCTGTCATTGTTGTTTGGCAGGCCCGGGCTGGATTCGAACCCGCCACCTTAGGTGTATGTGGCTGGCACCTTAGCCACTTGAGCCACAGGTGCCGAGCCAAGTGTATTTCTAAAAGCACTTGATTTGTTCATTGTAAAAGAGAGTACCAGAAGGGAAAGAAATTAATACATCCTTTATGTGCCAGGCCCTTTATTTTTTTGTTGTTTATTTTTTGTTTTGTTTTGAGACAGTCTCACTATGTCTCCCTCAGTTGAGTGTCTTGGCGTCACAGCAACCTCCAACTCTTGGGCTTAAGCTATTCTCTTGCCTCAGCCTCACAAATAGCTGGGACTACAGGCGCCCACCACAACACCCGGCTATTTTTTGGTTGTAATTGTCGTTGTTTGGCAGGCCCAGGCTGCATTTGAACCCACCAGCCTCAGTGTATATAGCCCTAACCTCTGAGCTACAGGCAAAAAGTTAAATGCAAAAATTAAATGCTTTTTGCATTAAGATAGACAGTTGTACAGCCAGGCCTTAGCTCACTTCACACCTATAATCCCAGCTCTTAGGGAGATAGGAGGATCACTTGAGCTCAGGAGTTGTAGTTGTTTTGTTTTGTTTTGTTTTTTGAGATAGTCTCACTTTGTTGCCCTCAGTAGAATGCCGTGGCATCATAGCTCACGGCAACCTCAAACTCTTGGGCTTAAGCGATTCTCTTGCTTTAGCCTCCCAAGTTAGCTGGGACTACAGGTGCTGGACACGTTGCCCAGCTGTGTTTTTAGAGATGAGGTCTCACTATGGCTTTGGCTCAGGCTGGTCTCAAACTTATGAGTTCAGGCAATCCATCTGCCTCAGGCTCCCACAGTGCCAGGATTATAGGCATGAGCCACCACGCCTGGCCAAGCCCAAGAGTTTTTTTTTTTGTTTTTTTTTTTTTGAGATGGAGCCTCAAGCTATCCCCCTGGGTAGAGTGCCATGGCATCACGCTCACAGCAACCTCCAACTCCTGGGCTCAAGCGAGTCTCCTGCCTCAGCCTCCCAAGTAGCTGGGACTACAGGTGCCCGCCACAACGCCTGGCCATTTTTTGGTTGCAGCCATCATTGTTGTTTGGCGGGCCCGGGCTGGGGATTCGAACCCGCCACCTTAGGTGTATGTGGCTGGCGCCTTAGCCGCTTGAGCCATAGGCGCCGAGCCGCCCAAGAGTTTTAAGACCAGCCTGGGAGTGAGAGAAATTAGCCAGGTATGGGCACATAACTATAGTCCCAACTACTCAGGACACTGAAGCAGGAGAATTGCTTGAGCCCAGGAGCTGGAGGCTGCAGTAGGCTATGATCCCATCACTCCTTTCCAGTTGGGAAGCCTAATGAGACCCTATCTCTTTGGAAAAAAAAAAAAATGCATTTCCCTGTCTCTAAAAAAAATAAAAATAAAAACGCATTTCCGTGAGACTTTTGGTATTCTCTCCATTTTTCAAATGAGGTTAAGACTCAGATGGTTTTCTTTGTTTTCAAGAAACAGTATTTCTATGTTCCCTAGGCTGGACTTGAATTCCTGTACTCAACTCAAGTGATCTTCCCATCTCAGTTTCTGGAGTAGCTGGGATTACAAGTGCACACTACTTCACCTGGTTGGATTTTTTTTTTTTTTTTTTTTTGGTGGAGACAAAGTCTCACTCTTGGCACACCTTGGGTAGAGTGCCATGGCATCATTGCACTTGCTTTAGCCTCTCCAGTAGCTGTGACTACAGGCATGTGCTACAATGCCCAGCTAATTTTTCTGTTTTTTTAGTAGAGACAGGGTCTCACTCTTGGCTCTGGATGGTCTTAAATTCCTAAGACTAAGGAATCCACCCTCCTCAGCCTCCCAGAGTGCTAGGATTACAGGTCTTAGCCACCTTGCCTGGCTTTTTTTTTTTTTTAAATACTTGCCCAAGACACAGAGTCAGTGACACCAGTTCTATTAAAGTTCTCTTTCCATTATGTCAGGGTGTCTCCAGGGAGATCAGGCATATAGCAAACAGGAAAACTATGTGTGGTCAGGTATAGTCAAATGAGAAAATAGTCTCATGTTGTTTGAAAAGATGTTTGTTGCCAAAAATGAATAGGATGTAGTCACGTTCTTTTTTTATTTATTATATTCTTTACTTATGTGCTCAAAAGGATATACAAGTACTAGAAAACTGCTGTCCTCTGGGCCAGATATAGTGGCTCATGCCTATAATCCTAACTGGCACTCTGGGAGACTGAGGCAGGTGAGTCGCTTGAGCTCAGGATCAGGAGACCAGCCTGAGCAAGAGCAAGACCCCATCTCTACTAAAAATAGAAAATTAGCCTAGCACTGTGGCAGGTACCTGTAATCCCAGCTACTTGGGCAGCTGGGGCAAGAGAATCACTTGTGCCCACAAGTTTGAGGTTGCTGTGAGCTGTGATGCCATGTCACTCTACCAAGGATGACAAAGTAAGACTCTGTCTCAAGAAAAGAAAAGAAAGAAAGTGGTTCTGGGGTGTGCTCAGAGCAGGGAGCTTAAAGAATGGCTTCTCTGTTTACAACACACCCGACAGGAATCTAGGGTCATTGTGACAAAGGGTAGCACAAGACTTGTGGCCTCCTGTGAACAAATGTCCTACATGTGGGGAGAAAAGAAAAGTAGTCCTTAGGCAGACTTCAGCTTGTGGGGAGATGAAGTGGACATCCTTTCTCCTATTCCTCAGTGAAACTGAAAACCCTGGACATTAAATATAAAATGATTAGACTCTGAACAGTGGAGAGTGTATGTATATACCTACATATATATGCATGTGTGTGGGTGTCTACACATACAGGCAAACTGACTAAGGACCTCGGGGCCTAAGGAAAGGCAGTGGTGAGTACTCTGGTTTTTGTTGTTGTTTTTTTTTTTTTTTTGAGACAGAGCCTCAAGCTGTCACCCTGGGTAGAGTGCCATGGTATCACAGCTCATAGCAACCTCCAACTCCCGGGCTCAAGCGATTCTCCTGCCTCCACCTCCCAAGTAGCTGGGACTACAGGCACCTGCCACAATGCCCACCTATTTTTTTGGTTACAACCATCATTATTGTTTGGTGGCCCTGGCTGGATTTGTACCCACCAATTCAGGTGTATGTGGCTGGTGCCTTAGCCGCTTGAGCCACAGGCTCAGAGCCTGGGTTTTCTTTTTGACTCATGCAGACTTGATGCCTTAATCTTAGGCATAAGAAGCTGGTAGCCTGGAAATACCAATGACACAGACAAGTAAAGCCACAGCAAAAGCCTCTCTAGCCAAAGAACCAGGAAAGGGGCAGCATAATAAAATAGAAAATTTGAGACAATAACTATTCTAGCCAAATGCCGCAGAAAAAACTGGCCATCCATATCCTCATGAACAAAGAGCAAGTAAGGCAGCAGGAGTTCCACCCTAAGAAGGATCAGGTGAGATACTGGGATATGTCCACAGAAGGAGTGTGACAGGAAACCAAGGAGGGAACCTGGACTTTCATCTCTGATGGCAGTAATGAATTATCCTTCTGACACCGCCCCACCAGTGTCAGTGGAGACCACGTGGGGCACCAAGATTCTCACCTCTACCCAGTAGTAACACGGAGCATCCATTTTCTGGTATCAACGGGCTGCCTGGGGAACTTGGATTCTACCTGGATCTGACAGAAGATAGCACCCCAGCTTTCCCTGCCAGAGTGGTGTCAGAGAAAGGCAGCTGAAACAAGGTTTGAATAAGATATAGGTCGGGCGCAGTGGCTAGTGCTGAGAGGCCAGAGCAAGAAGATCACTTGAGCATGGGAATTCCAGCCCAGCCTGAGCAAAAGCAAGACCTCATCTCTACTGAAAAATTAGAAAATTTAGCCAGGTATGTGACAGGTGCTCATAGTCCCATTTACTCTATAAGCTAAGAGAGAAAGGTCACTTAAACCCAGGAATTTGAGGTTGTAATGAGTTAGGCTGATGGCCACCACATTCCACCCACGGTGACAGCGAGACTCTGTATCAAAATACACATATATGTGTTGTATACATAGATATAATTTAAGGAAAAAAATACAGAAGATACAGGGGGCGGCGCCTGTGGCTCAAGGAGTAGGGCACCGGCCCCATATACTGGAGGTGGCAAGTTCAAACCTAGCCCTGGCCAAAAACCGCAAAAAAAAATAAATAAAAATAAAAAATTGAAGATACAAAGAAGAGCCACATAAAAAAGTTAATACTGAAAATAATAACCAAAATAAAAAGCTCAATGAATGGGCTCAAGAGCAAAAGGGAGGGAGTAAAGGATCAGTGAACAACAGATAACTACCCAGTTCTGGACAACTGAAAGAAAACAGACTAAAGAAAATTGAACAGAAACTCAGGGACTTAAGCCAGCACAAAAAGAAAATCACTAAATGACCAGGCAAGGTGGTTCATACCTGTAATCCTAGCACTCTGGGAGGCCCAGGTGAATGGATTGCTTGAGCTCAGGAGTTCAAGACCAGCCTGAACAAAGACAAGACCCCTGTCTCTACTAAAAATAGAAAAACTGAGGCAAGAGGATCACTTGAGCCCAAGTTGGAAGTTTATAATTATATAGATGGAGGAGGGGGAAAGGAATAAAGGGAGATATGATTTCCTTTTTTTTTTT